GAAGTGCGTGACAGAGTCACATTATAATGAATTATATTTGTCACATCCACATCGCAGTTATGTACAGAGTGTTCGGAAAGTCAGTTCACGTTTAGTAACTTGGGTGCCTCAAGCTAATCTAAATGATGTTTAAAATTTAAGTACATGCTTCACATTGTGTACCCGTTACAAAGAACGGTTTATGCTGTTTGGGAAGACAGTGGTTGCTTCCTCAGAGAATCGTACGAAACCCATAATGCAAGGAAAATTGCAGTTCTTCTCTTAATGCTCAAGCGGGGACTGTACATACTAATCACCCTGCTTTAAATGGCTAATGTTTTTATCTAACATTCGTAGTCTACATCAGCCTAGTTATACTGTTCAAATCTGAATAAATGCAGGGGCCACGAATCATGCGGCATCTACCCTCCCTGGTGTGTTACGGGCACTGCTGCACTCGGTTCGTTCTGAGTGTACGTTCATCATATTTCCCCCAAATTGAACAATAAACATCTTGCAATGTATAATCCAGTGTCAGGGAGTTAGACACAAAGCACACTTTATGTAAAACTGGTAAATAACGTTAATCGATTAACAAAACATTGTGAAACCTCCCGTCTGCTTGGGTGTTATGCGCGTTAAGAACGAAACTTTACAAAAAAGGCTTCTGTTATCTTCTCTGTCCGTAGCAACAAGTAACAACTCAGAAACTGATGAGAGGGATTTTGCGTCATGAGTTTTGTGTTCTCACAGCGATAGTTACGAGGAATTCTGTCTCCTGGTACATAACGCCCCTGTTACACTGAAAGTCAGCAGACGTTTCGGAGGATTATGTCGCCTCAATCTTCAGGGTTGAAGAGTAAGCCAAGCAAGAAACCAGCATTGACGCCGAGCCATAGCTCAAACGGTTAGTCGCTGGCTTCCCACCACGGCGGCCCGGGTTCGATCCCGGTTCTGGTCAAGTGGGATTTGTGGTGGACAAAGTGGCGCTGGGGATGGTTTTCTCCGAGTACTTCGGTTTCCCCTCCCAGTCTTCATTCCACCAAATTCTCCATCATCATAACCACCCGGGTGGTTGATAGTTGAAGCTGACTTAGTCCCACTGAGAACTTTGTTTTGTGTATCATTTTAGCATTGCGCATTAGTCACGCGTACTTTTAATGATATCCCCCAATAAGTACTCAAATCCACGCCCATGAACTATGTTTTCACTTTTCTCATTCTGATCGACAACAGGTTTTGAGCGGACTTCCGCAACGGAATTATCAGCTTCCAGCATTGAACTCACTGTGGCTGTTGCAGGAAATGTCATTCACATGTTAACGATGAGAAATAAACACTGAAGACAGAAGAACAAACAGAGGGATTTGGAATGAGAAATAATGATTTCAGTTGAGACAACAAGATAAATCCAAGTTTCTAATGACTCGGTTTAATCGTCTGAAGTTGAACAGAGAGATGCAAGAAAGCATAGTGAATAAGTACTCGAAGAGAAAAATAATAGGCAAATTGAAAGACACTATATTTTGCGGCGGGAAGAGCATAATTTTGTTAGGCTCCCACGATTCTCTCGATTCTTATGATAAGATTAATATTGTGACGCATATGCCCATTGCTAGGCAACGGATCGGTAAACGCATTCCCTCGATAGAAGCGCTTAATACTAGGACATTTATTACTAGGTAACGGACCGGCAGATGCGTGTTCTGGACAGCAGTACATGTCCATTGCTAGGCAGTGGACGTGTTTTCTTTGGAGTCCACTTCGAGGATATATAAGTACAGGGCGTTAAGCCATCGAGGAAACCTGGGAGCAGCGCACAACGGACACAACATTTCTCACAGATTGCTGCGGTAACTGCCCACAGCAGAATGAGTAATTGGCACTGATAAACGCGCGCCGTCACGTGATCTGTTCTTGTCACTGCAGTAAGTCGCATTGATAGTCAGTCTTTGTTAGAGGTGTCGAAACGTGGGCGACATTTATACTGGAATGAAGTTCATTATTTAACAGCGTTTGTTTATTGTCGAACTTTTGCAAGTTTACAAACTTTTGGATTAAGTATCTCATTAATGTAGTGGTCCGAGTTCACGGTCTCGTGGAAAAATAAGGGGCCAATGATTCGCCGCGGACTTACAGCACATCACACCCCCACCTTTTCACTATGTAGCGGCACTTGCTCTAGCGTGGGGATTTTCATCACTCCATGTTCTTACATTTTGTGCCTTGAAATGACCACTAACGTGAAACCACGCTTCATCAGTCATGAACAGAAGCTGTGGATCCACTATTCCATCGTGTACATTTTGCAGCAGCCAGTTGCAAAAACGAATTCTTGCTGCATAATATGGTTGTTTCAGCTCATGCACAACTGTTACTTTATACGGGCGAAATTTGATTAATTTTGTGGCTGTGAAAGTAGAGCCTAGTGAAACACCGGTTTCCTGTGCTAAGCGTCTTAACGATTTTCGAGGACTGATCTATTGTCGTGCGTCAATATCCCGAACCTTTTCTTCAGTCAGCACAATCCTCTTCAATTGCTTCTTTATGTCACACACTGAACCTGTGGCCCGCCACTTTTTCACAAGCTTGGATACACAAGACTTTGTGGGAACTGGCGAGTCAGGATATTTACGACGAAACTTACGGATACATTTTCTGTAAGATTTTTTTCCTTGAAAAAGTTTCGACACTAAACACACACTGTTCAATTGTGAACTTCATTTCAGTACAAATGTCGACCATTTATCGACACCTCTAACACAGACTGACTATCAATGCGACTTACTGCAGTCACAAGATCAGACAATCTGACGGCGCGCACAACAGCACTCTGGGAGAAATGTTCTTTCCACTGTGCGTTGTTGCCAGCTTTCCTCTACCGTTGAACGCATTGTATTATAGAACAAAATCGTAGATCAGGATATTAGTCCCGAATGGCCTACAAGCGTACCGCCATTTCTTCCTTTCAGAGGGCTGTGCTTGGTTTCGCCTTCCTTCCTGTGGTTCGGATTTTCTGCCTCGGACTCTGCTTCTTCTGGATTTGCTTCCAATTCCATGGCCTCCACATCTACAACGCATGTCTTAATTTCGGCTTCCTTTGTTTCCTGGCCGGTGTTTATCCTGGATTCTGTCATTTCTGGATAGGCCTCTGTCACTTCTCTGTCGGGCTTCATCTCTTTTCTCCAGGCATTTACTTTTGCTTCCATCCTTTTCTGATGTGCTTCCACCTGGGCTAACTGTTCTGCCCTAGCTATCAGACGTGCCATCAGTTGTTCCGTATTTTTTTTATCCATATTTATGACACATCAGTGTAACGATCAGTGTCTAGTGGAGTTCTGAATCCGACCACTTCTGACATCAATTGTCACAATTTTAGGACGTGTGGCTATAGATGGGGTATGGATTGGATGATTGGATTTATTGACCACATATACACCACTCAGAACTACATTCGTTCTTGTTAATTAAAACTACAACACCTGTAACTTCTTTATTAAGTACAATTGATCATAATACAACAGTTGGAACCAAATGTCAAAACAGGAAAAATTACAAAACGGTATCCAAAAATATACGTTTTGCGAAATTATACAAAAACAGACTTTGCAAGAGTGACCTCCCCTAAGTCCATAGGAAGAAGAATTCCCAAAATAACTATGAAATGAGCATATGACCTCTGGTGCTCAGTGAGGACACTTGGAGTGAATGTAAAGGATAAAATATTTACAAAAACCATGTGTACACAATCGGTCTATTTCTTCAGTTATTACTAAATGCATGAACTGGAAGTTTTTGACCTAGGTAGGTCCATTAGCTTACAACTAGCAGGGAGGATGCCTCACTATAACCATAATGACACTTAAAAACAGTTATCTCTGTGAATTTATGAAATCTTCGTCAGGTGTTATCAGAAGGTCAGTGTAACCATACCTCAATTTGCCTCCCATAAAAAAATCCAGGTTGAATGTAACTGCAAATATAAGCATTGCATAACATGTTACTAGGACAAAAATATTCACCAACACTACAAATTTTGGCTTATAAATAGTTGTTTTGCATAAACCCATCACAGAAGCTATCTTGCCTTCACATATATGGTCATCTGTTACATTTTTTCACTTAGTGTCGACTAATTTTTGCAGTCTGACTTGCAACACCACTATGTTCTATCACTACATGTTTCGACCAATGTGGTCATCATCAGGTGTTAGAATTATTGGGTGAGAAAACTGTTGTCTTGTGTTGTTGATTATTTTGTTAATATATAAGTCCCCTGAATTCGCATGTTTGTTTGATGGATTGTATTCGCTCCTGTTGTATGTTATACCCCGTGTCTTGTTTTTGGAAGAATAATTTTAACACATGATGACACTAAGTGAAAATTGCAACAGGATGCTTCAATATATTATTACATGTTTTAAATTTGGTACTTTAACAATACAAACTCATCATTCTTCAAGCAGGATTTCATTTCAACATGCAATACAAAAAATAAGGACTGTGATGTAAGAATATGCACATCAGAAATACTGGCAGCTCACTGTAACTTGCAATGTCAAGACTGTATCAGTAACCAGATATAAAAATGTTAAGCTACCAAGTCACAAAACAAAATATTAAGTGACAAAACTCTTTCATCACCTGATGCTCCATAAGTCTTTTTGATATACAGTGTACTAGAAGCTGAAAAAGTAGTGATTCTTTTAAACTTTGCAACCATCAATTTGCTCCATTGTTATTTAATGTGTGGAGCTCCCACTTGGAATTCTATATAAAGGAAAACAGGATAAAGTCAGTTGTCTTCATGATACCAATAATATACGTATACTGCCTATTCAAGATTCTCAACAATCACACACCCACACATACAAAGGATATAAATTCGAAAAAGATGAGAGAACTACAAGATACTAACTGAAAATGTATTCATCAGCTTTCCACCGCTGTTTCTTAAACTTTTATTTTCACGAAAAGCAGCCGGGCCCTGGGCAGAGTTTAGTCCATAACTGCATGTCCAACTAGACGGAAGTAGTCTGCTGCTCATCATTCTCACAGGATAGGCGCTCCTTATTGTGTCGCACCATCTCAGCCCAGCGTGCATGATTGCGCAGCTTCTCAAGTTTGTCCTGCTTGAGCTGCTCACGTCTTGTCTGTGACTGCTGATACTTCCTATGAATTTTAGACTTCAACTGGTTCACCTTCTCAAGCATTTCCACCCGAATACGCACCACCTTCGCCTTATGTTCCTTCATTCTTTGTATAATTTTCTCGATGTTACCATCTTTTCGAGGAGTGGCTGTATGGATCGTCTCAGCTGCACCTTTCGCTTCACGTTTCTGCATTTTTAGTGACCGTCTAGTCTTCTCCACAATCTCCCAATGCTCCTTTAATCTAGACTTCAAGTCATTAATGAGTGATTCTCGATTCTCAGTGTACACTTCCATCTTTTGTTCTAGGGCTTCTCGAGTTTGTGAAATGAAATAATTTTCTTGTTCTTTCCTCCTCTTTGATACCTTCTCAACATTTGACATCATGATAGCCAAATTAATCATCCTCACTGCTTCCAGTGACAGTCTTCTCTTTTGAGCTGCATTCAATTTCTCCTTGATGTGCTTCAGTGCACTTTTCGCTTCATGTTCCTGAATTTTTAGTGACTGTCTGTTCATCTCCACAATCTCCCAATGCTCCTTTAATCTAGACTTCAAGTCATTAATGAGTGATTCTCGATTCTCAGTGTACACTTCCATCTTTTGTTCTAGGGCTTCTCGAGTTTGTGAAATGAAATAATTTTCTTGTTCTTTCCTCCTCTTTGATGCCATCTCAACCTTTGACATCATGATAGCCAAATCAATCATCTTCTCTGCTTCCAGTGACAGTCTTCTTTTTTGAGCTGCATTCAATTTTTCCTTGATGTGCTTCAGTGCACCTTTCGCTTCACGTTTCTGCATTTCTAGTGACCGTCTAGTCTTCTCCACAATCTCCCAATGCTCCTTTAATCTAGACTTCAAGTCATTAATGAGTGATTCTCGATTCTCAGTGTACACTTCCATCTTTTGTTCTAGGGCTTCTCGAGTTTGTGAAATGAAATAATTTTCTTGTTCTTTCCTCCTCTCTGATGCCTCCTCAATCTTTGACATCATGATAGCCAAATTAACCATCCTCCCTGCTTCCAGTGACAGTTTCCTTTTTGCAGCTGCTTTAAATTTCTCCTCGATGTTATCCATTGAAACCTCTTTCCTGGGGGAGGATTGTTTAGGAGGAGCCACAGTCACAGGCTCTGCCAGGATTACCTCATATGACACACCACACTTCATTTTCTCTTGACACCTGATTCAAATACAAACACCAGGCTTTTCAGTCTTAACTAGTCGTATGCTGGCAACTGATTTCAACAGAGTAATTATACCGGCTTCACTGTAACTTCAAATCACAAGCTAAATCTTATCTTCACTGGCTGACTTTCAGCTGTCAACTGAACTAAATCAGATATACTGCTAATCAGTGTCAACTATTATATAACGTCGGGGCGTACCCACAGAAAACATTGTTCATTGTTGTACGCTGTTTCTACGAGACTATGTTTAGAAGATTCTGCTGCCCTAGCAGCGGCGTTGTCACATTGTTTTGTTTCGTGGGAACATATTTACCAAGCTGTTTCCTAGCAATGGACGCCGCTGGCTCGACGTTTTCGGCCTTTAGGCGTCATGTAACAATACTTCTTAACAAATTTTGTTTGTAATAGTTTCTGCTATGAAAGAAAAAGTGACTTTGACTTTGAAAAGGTGAGGAACCATGGTTCCCAGATTCATCGTTGAAAACTGAATGAAACTATGACGTATACTGGAATACATCTACTTTGCACATTTTTTTATTGCCAGTGGGGTGGGACTAAGTCCCATATACTGCGGAAACTTCTGGCCTATTGTACCAGCCCCAGATGATAGGTGAGGGTGATTGTGGAGCAGTTGGTGGAATGAAGATTGGCAGGGGGAACCGAAGTACTCGAAGAAAACCTGCCCCAGCCCCACTTTGTCGACCACAAATCCCACTTGATCAGACCCGGGATCGAACCCCGGCCGCCGCGATGGAAAGCCATCGACTAACAGCTTGAGCTATGACGCGGCCGTACTTTGCACATTACAATTTCAGCTTTATTGAAACATTGCTATATGTACAGTACATTATTTATTTCAATCGCCCAAAGCTTTCAGTTTTTGGTTACATCAGTGAATTGAGGATCTTGCTGATTGGTTGTGCTCAAGGTAGGTCTATGATAGCTAAAGTACGAAACGTATTGCATGCAGGATAAACTGTCTAAACTATCTTTCAGTTTTTGGTTCCATCAGTGAGTTGAGGATCTTGCTGATTCGTTGTGCTCAAGATAGGTCTATGATATCTAAAGTACGAAACATATATGGCTACTCCTCCGGCTCTGTCTTCCTGTCGTTTGAATTTAGTAATGCATTAATAACCGTCTAGTGGAACAGTTTCGTCGTCATCCGTCCACGTTTCCGTAAGAGCAAGAATGTCCGTAGTTAACTAGCACCGGATCCGTGGAAACGTCTGTCGAGTGACTAACGAGGCTTTGTACGTTTAGAGTAGTCACTGTAAAATCGTGACTGTTGGGTGTACACTTTTATAGTCTGATTTAATTTCTAGGTTATCGTCGCTTAGAAGCCTCGCCTCGCTTAATGGCACCGAAGTAACCCGTGTTCCGAACAGCACAATGGAATGTGTAAGTTTAACTGCTTCATAGTCACTACACTGCTCCATGTCGTTAATTTTACCACAGCATCCGTTTTGTTCCACACAGCCGCAGTTGTTAAGATTAATACGTTTGGTCTCCTTTAACATGCATTCTTTAATCAACTGCCGCGACATTTCGTGCCACTGGTTACAACGTGACTCACATAATGGCTTCCAACCGTTTATGTTAGGTATTAATTTGTTTGTTGTATTTCACTGTTAATTAATGTGAATGCAGTAGATGTTCCTGTTTGGTCCGATCGAGTGTGTGTTTGGAATTGCTTGCTTTCGTTTCTGTAGTTGCAGTTTGTCCAAACTCCCACCAGCGAATGTAGCAGCAGAAATTTGTAGTTCAGGCTAGCGATACTTGCGAACTGGGCCACTGAGTTACTTCTGCCGCATGCTTCATTACAAGTTAACCACAGAGGTTGTTATATATAAAGGTAAAGCTATCCCTGTAACAGGCCGTGGAGACGCGTTGGGTTGTGGGACGTCGAGGCTCCCACATTTTCTCTAGACAATCGACTCAGACGTGGCGGTGAGGTTGTCATCCTTACGCGCCGGCCGCCCTTTACTCCCAAGGAAGATTTCTGGTACTCATTTCTGTTAGACGCGGAGTCAGGATTAGGTCAGTTGAATATAGTGACCAGGATCCTGCAACCTTCCGACTTGTAGAATAGTGCCTCAACCAAATACGCTATCGTGTGCCCCGTTTTTTATATATACCACATGATTTAACATTAAAAATTTCCATAGAGTGACTTTACAAATGTAATTTTATTTTGAGAATAAACAGCGACCCTTTCTTAATTGGAATTAACGATCGTTGTCTGTAATGGAGACGATGGGAATATTAATTAGGTATGAACTATATAGTCAGATATTAATTAGATTAGCTAAGGCTTCTAAAGGTTAAATAGAGGTATTTCCTATTATTGTTTTAGTAGGCGTTTTACTCGCTGTTTGCAGCCGTCCCAAAGATACCAGCCTCCGGGCGACGCGCAGCTGCCGGCAGCGTTGATACGTGTAATGCATTTGCCCCGTCAGATCGGTAGAGTCAAGGGATCTTTCTCTCAAGGATGCAGGTTGCTTCGGTGACCGGGATAGAGGTACGCACTTTGGGAGTGATGAATCACTACACTATTTGAATGCAACGAATGCGGTATATTTTGGTATGTCGATATTTATGTCTGCAAAGTTACACTAATCCTCTGTGAGACTTGCACTTCATTAGATCACACTTCCGTCGTAACTAAATGTCTTCATAAACTTCTCAACTTAATCCCATGGGTACTCTCCCGTCGTAATTATCACTTGAACGCCCTATATATAACCGACCTTTGTAACGATTGTCACTACAGCGTCGTCGTTACTACGTATTTAACCCTCTTGACTATCACACTTTGTAATTATCTTTTCAACAGTGCCCCTATCGTAACTAAATGGCGTTCAGTCATGGAGGAAACCTAGCAACAGCGCTGAGCCGGCAAAACATTTCTCCCACAGTGCTGCTGTAACTGCCGATAGCAGAATGAGTCATTCGCGCTGATAAACGCGCGCCGTCAGGTGGTCTGACCTTGTCACTGCAGTAAGTCGCATTGATAGTCAGTCTGTGGTAAAGGTGTCGATAAATGGTCGACATTTGTACTGAAATGAAGTTCACAATTGAACAGTGTCTGTTTAGTGTCGAAACTTTTTCAAGGAAAAAAAATCTTACAGAAAATGTATCCGTAAGTTTCGTCGTAAATATCCTGACTCGCCAGTTCCCACAAAGTCTTGTGTATCCAAGCTTGTGAAAAAGTGGCGGGCCACAGGTTCGGTGTGTGACATAAAGAAGCAATTGAAGAGGATTGTGCGGACTGAAGAAAAGGTTCGGGATATTGACGCACGACAATAGATCAGTCCCCGAAAATCGTTAAGACGTTTAACACAGAAAGCCGGTGTTTCACTAGGATCTACTTTCACAGCCACAAAGTTAATCAAATTTCGCCCGTATAAAGTAACAGTTGTGCATGAGCTGAAAGAACCAGATCATGCAGCAAGAATTCGTTTTTGCAACTGGCTGCTGCAAAATGTGCACGATGGAATCGTGGATCCACAGCTTCTGTTCATGACTGATGAAGCGTGGTTTCACGTTAGTGGTCATGTAAATGCACAAAATGTAAGAACATGGAGTGATGAGAATCCCCAAGCTATACAGCAAGTGCCGTTACATAGTGAAAAGGTGGGGGTATGATGTGCTGTAAGTCCGCGGCGAATCATTGGCGCTTTATTTTTCCACGAAACCGTGAATTCGGACCGCTACGTTAATGTATACACGTATACTGAATGTGTTCTTGAATCAGCAGTAATGCACGCACGCCTTGCAGCCGCGCGATTCAGCTGGCAGGGTTCATTTTTGTAGCTGGTTTTTACAGTCCGTCGCCGAAGGTGAGATCGATCCACAGTTAACATTCCTTTGTGATGAAGCGTGGTTTCACTTGCAGGGATACCTAAACACGCTAAATAATCGCTACTGGAATTTACAGAATCCACATCTAACCCACGAAGTTCCGCTCCATCGAGTGAAAGTTATTGTCTGGCGTGCTGTAAGTGCATGGAGGATTCTTGTACTTTTGTTTCTTTTTAACGAAACAATTAATTGCAAAAGATATCTACATGTAGAGGAACAGAATTTTCAACACCGCCTGTGATTTAACTACTTCATTCCGAACGTTATCGGCCGTCGGGCAAGCTAATTCGTCGGCAAAAATCGTATGCGCCTCGCAGCCGGCGGTGCACCGGTCGTCGTGAAGCACAGAGCCATGGAACTTATCACCTAAGTAAGAAGGATGCACAAACACAGTATTTTTGGAATTGCTGCTCAGTGTTTCCCGTGATGAAACGATGCACGCGAAAGGTGCGTTGTGATTGTGTTTAATATACCGCAGTGAATCCTGTGACCGCAAGAAAAATTCATCATAAAATGCCCTACATTTCAACAGTACCAATAAAAGAAGCAACAGATAAAAAATAAATAACTTTTTTTTCAGGGCTAATTTTCGTTTACGGTAGATGTATTAAGTTTGGTTGACTTGTGGTTAGCAACGCACCGTTAGGATTTGTGTCACATTACGGCAGAGGTGATGAACTCGAGCCATTAGAAGACGACAACAGTGTGCAGCTGCAGTTTAGTGTTAGTCCCCTGTTGGTAGCAACAAAATAGGGGCCGAGAGCCACCGTTTACAAATCTCTGGTGGAACATTATTGAACTATGAACGCCGGGTTAAATCACAGTTACTCCTTAGGTACAGAATTTAATGAATTTGAAACGGAAACGTGATTTAGTTCTTTAAAGCAGTGGTTCCCAACCTTTGTCAGACCGCGGCCTGGTAAATTCTTTTTTCTATAAGACGAGGGCCCGGTACTGGGCCGCGGTCCGGCGGTTGAGAAACACTGCTTTAAAGTCTGAAATTCATCTAAATAATATTTAAACATTCAGTTCCTGGCATGCAGAGAACACATTGCGTCCACATTGTAAAAATCAGTCGGTTATTGCTGTTCAGTGTAGAATAATAGTTGATGTTTA